AGTGCGAGTGCGTGTGCGTGTGCGTGTGCGTGTGCGTGTGCGTGTGCGTGTGCGTGTGCGTGTGCGTGTGGGTGTGGGTGTGGGTGTGGGTGTGGGTGTGGGTGTGGGTGTGGGTGTGGGTGTGTGGGTGTGTGGGTGTGTGGGTGTGTGTGTGTGTGTGCGCTTGTGTTTTTGTGTTCCCCCCACATACATATATAAAATGAACAGTGGGGCGTGTGTATGTGTGAATGTATGTATGTATAGGTATATGTATATGTATATGATATAATTTAGTGTAATGTATTGGCACACAACCCAAGCCCATGCTGAAAAATGTAATGTAATGTAAAATATGGAAATGCATGATGTCTTGTGAGATAGATATCGATTGAAATGTTCTGCTTCAGGTCTGGACTTACGTGCGCACGTGCCTATGCAAATACGGCCCTCGATATAACTGCATATACATATATACATACACTTGCGCACATAGAGGCATACATATATATATATGTATACACAGAGAGAGGGAGTGTCTGTAACCTACTTTTCTTCCGGGACCTGTACGGAACATCAGATACCTTTCGTTTAACCGGGGGAACAGCAACATGCGACCAAGGACACAGCTGCCCGCATGCGCGTGAGGGAGGGCCTACGGGTGTTTTCCCTCGAAGCTGGTAGCAAGCAAGCAAGGTGTGCGTGTGTAAGAGAGAACCAGATTCACAATGGTGCATTCTGCGCAAGGCAGGAAGGCCTGAAATGGAAAAACAATCAAACATAACACCCCATCTACACTAACGAACACCAAGCTTGGAATGAGCAAAAGAAAACAACAAGGCCGGACCAAAAACGTTGAACATACACCAAATAGTGAGTAAAACAAGCCCGGACAGAGTGCAGGGAATGCAGTCATGAGTACTGTGTCACGGGTCGGGCTGGGCTTTAAGGGCAGCAATCGAGTCCCTTGTGACAAAAGGCTAGAAAGACTTGTGGTCAGAATGGAAGGAAGATGACGAAACAGAATAGACAACTAGACAGGGCCCCAAAAAATTGAAACACAATCAAATCATGAAGCGAATCATAGGACAACATAAGCCGGATCACCAACATGGAAAACAATGACAGACATCAAAATAGAGTAGAAAAAGCCGACTGGACCCCGCAAGCGAAAGCCACAACAAAAACGATAACAACCGAACATATGACAGACCGGACTCCGAAATCGAGGCAATGGCAGCACCTGTTTTGATTGCTGATCTAACTTTCGCTCTAAGTACAGTATTTCCATGTCTCTTCAAGACTTCCCCCAAACTCGACCAGACAAGCAGATTCGTTCAATGATCGACAGTTCGAAGTTCGAAGTCCATTTTCGTGCGGGTGTTCGTCTCTCTCTCACTGTCTCTCAATAGACCTTTCAAAGCACTCCATATATGCACATGTACAGAGGCTTGAGCCCGACATAGACTGGCAGGTCAGGCGCTGTACACAGCGCTCCGCACTCTGGCGCTGAAGCTTCGTGGTCCAGCCTCGCAAGCCCTTGCCCAAGGGTTTGCAGGATCCTTTATCGCAGATCGTCCTGTAAAGGAGCTTTGAAATGGATTTTGCGTTCACGGGGTTCTGGTTTTCTTTGCTTCCAGCTCTGGTGGGCCTGGCTGTATATGTTGCGTATCTTTATGTGGCTGCTTCCCAAAGATTTCCATGCGACTTGAGTTTGGATTGGAATTCTATTGTGCACGCCGTCAGGTACGACTTTGGACCTGCTATTTCGAGCCTAGTCCAAGGTTGAGGGTGTGCTTGATGCGCGTGTAGACCGGTAATTTCAGACTTCAGTGGTAAGTGATCAAACTCTCAGCTGATCAGTGCTACGCCTACGCAAAGAGCTTGGCTTGCTTGGCTGCTCGGAGGCTTGACATCTCAGCTTCGCTCAATAATCGCTGGTTGTCTGCAGTTTGCCGAAATTGTCCAATCAAGGCCCCATATGCAAACAAAAACTCGACAGGCACCAAGACTTCACTCTCAGCCAAGTTGGCGCTTGTTTCACGACCCTCTACACTCCAGACCGTTTTCAGAGCCTTGTTCTGCTGGCCATGGGCGCTTCCCACTCGGAACCAGAGCCGGCCGGGGTGGAAACTGAGGACACGCCTTGCATCAATTAGCGGGTCCAGGGAGTGTAGCCGAAGCCCAGACGCGAAAAGAGCCTCCTGTCAGGACAACTCGTCGCAGGAAGTCATCGCCCAGGCGCGTCGGACGTACAGATAGTGATTTCGCTTTGTCCCCACTGTTGCAAGCATGGGAGGAGGGGTTTCAAAATATAGAGCCTCTTCCTTAGGGGCCTTCGTAATAGGATGCTTTCATATTATTTCGGAGTTCATCTAGGGTCAAACACCAAGGCGAGCTGAACACAGCAAACCCACGTTTGACTTGAGTAAGCAAGCGAAAGTGTAACACAGTGGGCTTGGTCTAAACTTCGAATCTCAGGCATCTTGTCGCGGGCTAATCTTGTAGCTGCTGCGAGGACGATTCCTATGTCCCCTCTTCTTGAAGCTGCTGCAAGATTCAGGTTGTAGCTCTAGTTGTTGTGACACTTGTGACCGTTCTCTTCCCGCCGCACGGAGGTCGAGTCTTGGATTCAAGAGCACCCCGTCTTCGAGACGGTCATCACTGGAGCGTGCCTTGCACGGCGGAGTTGGCCCTCACTCATTCCTGAGATCAACAGCTAAGGTTGCAAGAGCACTGTCCTGTTCATAGGTTCGACCAATGCTACTAGCTTCCCACGGCCTTGTAAGTCACTTCAGTCACGCCCTGTGCCCGAGCCCTTAATGGTGCAGCTTAACTCGCGTGACGGATCTGTGTGGAGCGTTGCCTGCCTTGTGCGAGAATAAGAGTCGCAAATGGTGCAGCACATGGCACCGTGGTGCAGGAAGCTCAAATGCTCTGCTTGCCCAGTCGCTGCACATGCATACCAGAACCTTGGCATACTTCAGCGTGAAGCTCATTAAGTGTACTGGGCCGATGTGATTTTAAGTCCTGCTGCTCTGCGACCATGGTGCTGGGCAACTCAGCAAGATCGATATGGTTTCAATATTTGACATGTGCGGCCACTGCCGCTATTCGTCATGCAGGCAGTTGATGAAGGGCTTTCCAATACACAATAAGAAGCAGAGCAACAATGGGGCAGGCAGCGTACAGTCACGACATGTCACGACACTGCTTGTACTAACTCTAGCACCTCCCAAACCTTCAACCCAGCGTCCGGAGATCAATTTTCTAAGAGCTGCGCACGGCTTTAAACTGAAATTTGAAGCTCTTCGAGTCTTTGCACCCCAGTCAACAAGCGAGGGACGGATGTGTAGCGAGGTCGGCATTGACGGACGACAGCTTTGGCATTAGCTTCAAGCAGCCGCTTACAGGAACAGAGAGCGCCCAGCCTGAGGTTAGCTTCGGGTTTGAGAAGGTTTGGGTTTCGAGGTTGCCGGCGCGGATTTTGGACAGACAGGGTGTTGTACAACAGACCTGGACGCATGCGGCATGTCTCGTCATGCCTTTAATGCCTTTAGCGCTAGATGATGGCTACTACAACATCGATATTGAACATCGAGCCGAGCTTGTCATTAGCGATGTTCTTCCCTTACAGCCCCTACATGAGTGGAGTACTTGGGGGGTCGCTTACGACATGATGTAATATCCTTCGCCCGGAGCCGCATGCAGACAAAAGCCCATGATCCTCACTTCGAAAGTGAGGACTGGAGGAGATCCAGGTGGGAGCGGCCTCAATGTCATAGAAGTGCTGGGGGCGTTTCGCGGGTTTGCAAGGCTCAATTAAAGAAAACTGTAGCATTGAGGAGGTGGAGGGTGCAAGAAGGTGAGAGGTGTCTGCAGTCTGGAGCCGAACGGCAGGCTTTTACGCCACGGTGTCGGCTAAGTGGAGGGGAGCTCCAGCCTTCCCCATTTCGTCGACTCTGTTTGGTCCCCAAGCAAATGGGTAGTTCTCTAAATTAGGGTCCCTTTTTAGGTCCCCAGTACAGTACGGCACCCTTACAAAAGGAACCCCAAAAGGGACCCTAGTTTAGAGAACTACCCAAATCCTGAATTACAGTCTAACGTTAGCCGTTCTCGTGCCCGGGATGGACCACAGCGAGTTGCCGAGTCAAGTTTGAAACCCTGAACCCGGGGTATCGGCTTCTAACTCTGAAGCCTTAAACTCTCCAAGCCCAACTTCTAAACCAGTGGAAAGTCGGATACCTTCCTGTTCCCACAACCCAACCACAGCTCAGCTGTGGAAGGCGCACTAGTCCAAAACAGTCTCCAACTTCAGCCTCATACAAAACCTTTCGGAGGACCTGAGTCAGAAACCTTTTCAAGAACCGCCCACCCATCCGAGCTAAAGAAATGATTCATTCGGGGGATCCGCAGGCGAAAGTCGACTACCTTTGGGTGCAGAGACTAGAGCTTCCTATACACATGGCGCCTTGGCTGGCAGGCTTTGTTGGCGCATTCTAAAGTGAGACGGCTTTCCTGGCTGGTTCTTAGTAGTTTATGATGACTGGTGTGGGCTTTCAGGTGATCTCGAAGTCTGTCTTTGGGTGGTTTAGAGTTGTTTAGGGCTTCTTCTGTGCCCGAAGCTACGAAGGGTCCATGATCCCATAGTTTCCACCCGAGCCATGAAGCCAAAGCCGCGGACAACGACATAGACAAAGTGCAACCTATCGCTGGCGAAAACAGCTAAGAAGGGCACCAAGAGGACTCGTGAGATGAAGCGAACACGATTGAACCCGTTATTTCTTATTTGGCACACAAACCTTGTAGACCCTAAACTAAACTGAAAACAGAGCACGATAGATAAGCCTCATGCTAGTGGAGCCTACAAAGCCGATCTACCGACGCACATCCTAAGACCCTCACACCCGAAGCCATGAACGCTATGTATGTATGCACTGTATGCATATATTAATTTATTTATGTGCTTGTTTGTTTGCTAGTTTACTTAGCTGTTTGTTTAATTAAACAACTATGTATGTGTTTGTCTAGTAGATTATCCTTACAAAAGTATACATATACGTAGTAAGTGTATGTGTGCGAATAAATATATAATACATACATACATACATACATACATACATACATACATACATACATACATACATACATATATATACATACATATTTATGTGTGAGTGTGTGTGTGTGTGTCTGTGCGTTAGAGTGTCGGACGTAACACGTAGATATAGATAGAGGTTGTATGTATGTATGTATGTATGTATGTACGTCTGTACGTCTGTACGTCTGTATGTCTGTACGTCTGTCTGTCCGTCTGTCTGTCTGTCTGTCTGTCTGTATGTATGTATGTAGGGGTACTTACAACTATGTATGTGCGAACCTGAGGAGGATGGCTGGCGAGCCCTCGCGATACTTCCGAGCGTGACTTTCGCTCAGGGTGAAGCTGGCCAGCAGATAAGGCCGGAATGGCTTGGGGTCTTCATGGTAAGAATAGGGTGTAGGGGTGTGTCATGCTAGAAATAGACACGGACTGGGATGTTTCCACCATGTACTCAGACCCTTACAGCCCACACTACCAGTAGCTGGCTTTGAGGATCTTGGGTTGAGGGTAGCAGACTCTTGGCGCCAAAGTCTTGGGGCATGCCTGAAGTTTCAAGTAGGCCGTTGATCTAAGCCAAACTTTGCAGCAACGGTGGTAGGAAGGAGGGGTGCAGCACAGCCGCTGCAGGACCGAATGCCACTTCTAGAACTGAGAACGCGCAGCTCATGGCAGCTCTGCACGACCATGACCACCCACGACCCCATCTGGGGCCAGCTTGATGCTTTGTGAGGCTGGATTTCTTCGATGGCAGCAGGCCCAACTTGTCGAGTCGAGCATTCTTCGAGAGCAGTGGTAAAGCCCGAAAGCACCACGAGTGTCAAAGAGCCTGAGATGGGCAGCTTCTTGGCCTTGTTCCTTACCCAATGGCCCAGAGCTGCCCGGGTGCTAAAGAATTCTCAATGTCCACATTCCCTGCATTGCAAATACAAACGTGACATTCCCGAACCCAAAGCCTTCCTGCCGATCCCTAGTACACCAACCGCAGGCTGCTATGGACGGTCCAGGACATGATCTTCGATGGAGTGCTGAGTGAAATAGAAGAACCGCAAGAAGGTGCCTTGGCGGATTGCTGTATCACTCTTCCTTTCCTCGATAACCATTTTTCATGGTGCAGATGTTGAATACTAGCTACTGGGCTTCCGAATTGAACTCTCGCATTTCTGCCAAGTGCTGAGGTGCACAACGCACCATTGCGGTCAGGAAGGCCTTTCGCGGAACGCTCCAGTTTGATTGCACGATCAAGATCTGAAAAGCTTACAGGCAAGCGGGGCTCGCAGCTTGGCTTCAATCTTTACTTGTGTTTTGAATTCGAGACCCCTGAACAGGTGGATTTAGTTGGTTTCTGGCGCCAATGTGAAGAGCCGTCCTAAGCCCTAAGCACAAAGCACAGCCGTCCCGAACTCTACAAGATGCTTGCAAAACTGTGGCCGCATGCTGGGCCGTGAACCCACCAACCCCTGAAGCCCGGTGGCGAGCGAAGTTTTCAAGGTTGCAGCTGGCTTGTCGAAGCCGCGACCGCTGTCTACATGGAGCAGGTGTCCTTTCGCACAGGACATGCTGAAATGCATTTGGTATCCAAGCTTCAGGGCCCGGGTGATTTCCGTGGGTGACATGAAAGAGTAGAACTCCCGAATCTGCTCATGCAGCGACTCAAACTTCCACTTCGCGAGCGATTACTAAACCAACCAGTGTCACTCGGTTGGATGTTTGCGGTGTGGAGTTTGTCAGGTGTCGCTTGACTCTGTGCGATATCCGAGCAGCTGTGGCCGAGAGTAGGGCCCCTGGGCGCGAGACAGAGACGCGAAGCCATGGAGCACTGGTGCGAAGTAGAGTCGCTCGCGGTGACCAACATCATTGACAATGACACCGACTTTCTGTCCACGGCCGCATGCAACAAGGATGGCAGTGTTACCTATCAGTCTGAGGTGGCTCAGCATGTGGCGCGTGGGGACATGACCCTCAACTTTCCAGATTTCTGCTCCGCTGCTCATGGACTGTCCCTCTTGCTCACTGCCGAGGCCGCCATGGGGCTTCGGAGCCACTAAGGCGTCTATAATGTTTAGTAGCAGTCTTGCATTCCATGCTACCGAGAGGGCAGTCCGGACTTCGCTAGTGGCGTCTTCCAGTGGCGTCTTCCATCTCTGGGTTTTGAGCAGGGGCTGTTCTCGTTGATCAGCGGTGCTCTTGTTGAAGATGGGGAGTCGTGTCAGTTTCGCATGTAAGATCCTGACAGCAAAGTCCAGGTGACTACAACGGCGGGTCGCCAGAAGAGGCGGGAGTTCCTGGCAAAAAGACACCCCCCCTGCGCTTCAGTCTTAAAGCTAGGAGAGAAAACGAGCAGGACTACTTCGCAGGAGAGAGCGGCAAGCTCTGAACCCCAATCCTACGCGAAACTCGAAGTCTCAAGAGCTCCGAGGTCTTTGCTCTTGGATGCTGGCCCATGTCCTCGGCTATGGGAAGCAAACGCAAGGAAGTTGCAGCTTGACCTGGCCTCCGTGGAATGCATCGCGCCCTAGGCCCCTCTTGGGAGCTTGTTTCCTTCGATGTCCCGACGATGCCTAAACTGTTTTGGGGTTTAGGGGTTTAGGGCAGCAGTCGAGTCCCTTGTGAAAAAAAGGGTTTAGGGGTGCCGAAGCTTGTATAGCTGGTTGATAGCTGATCAGACTCAGAAGATCAGAAGAACTCGAGAAGTGATCACAGGAATCGAAAAAGGACGATGGTGTAGACCAACCCTCCCTTTGGAAGGTATCCAAGGCTCAAGCGAAAGCCGGTTCTTCTGGCAGGCACCGGAGGGATACAAAGACCCTCGGAATCATACATCCCAGGTCCTGTCACATTACCATGCCGACCACTCCGGCGGATTAACCGGTGCTGTGCCGCTCATTGCATCCGCCCGCAAGGCAGTCTGCTGTGAACTCTTTGGGTTCAGGATGTCACAACCCCTACGGCCACCCCACAAAGCCTTAAAGTCTGCGCCAGAGCTCCAAGAAAGCTTGGAGTTTGGGATTTATGACTGGAAGTGTCGGGCCCTAAGGATGCCGGCATGGGGCCTGTCCGCCTGGACCTGCACCAGGACCGTCCTGAGTCGAGGGCTGTGCATCTACAGCTCAAAGTGGAAGAATGTCTTCACTTCCTCTGAGGGTTGTGAACAGTGTCCTCAACAACCCTCACAAGCTCTAGGAGCTGCTGAGGCTTAGGACTTCCTGCGAAACCGAGGCAGTTGCCGTCTGGGACCACCCTGCCGCTACAGCCTGAGACCCCAACCTTCGAAGACTTCCGGCAGCTGGGGGCCCACCTCGTGTTGCTTTGGTGCAGAGTTGGCAGCCTTTGAGTTCGGGGCTGGGAAGAGGCTGTGGGCATAAGGAGAAAAGCTTTCTGAAAGTCTGGTTCGTAGTCGAGTCGAAGGCTGAGCAGCGAGCCACACGTGGTCTCAGACTGCTTCTTCGTCAGTGGGGAGATCCCTCGCAGAACCAGCTATGAGAAAGGCCTGGTCGGTTCCAAGCGTCTAGAAGACAATGATTGGAGGGATGACAATGACATCGACGAGGAGCATGTTTGGGTTTAGGTTTGGGGGTGACGGTGGTAAGACTGGAGCCTAGTTTAGGACATTGTGAGTTTAGGCATGGTTGAAGGGATTGACGGTAGCATCGACAAGGAGCGCTACGTGGCCGTGAAGGTCAAGGGCGCAGGCGTCGTGGTCTTTTCATCTTGTTCGCACGCAGGAATTGTGAACGTGTGTCGGCATGCCCGCGACCTTTCCGGAGTACCGCTGCTAGCAGCCGCCTGGCTGTTCAAAACAGACCTGGCATCAAGTTTTGAAATCTGACGTCCAGCTGATTAACTTTTGTGTACCCAATCAAGGATTTTCAATCCTCCTATCAGCCTAGTCTCCACCCTGAGCCCGAAACTAGAAATGCTAAACCCGAAAGGCATGTCCTAGCAAGGCGGGAACCAAAAAAACAACCTCAGCCCTGAACATCCTGAAACACCAAGGCAATGGGTGGCTTCCACCTGGGCGGTGTAGGTCTTGAGGAGCGTGTCAGTGACACCATCAACGACCTCCTTGAGCTGCGACCCAAGGCGATCCTGCCAGGGCACTGCGCCCGGGCTATTTGGGTGTGGGATCTAGGTTAGTGGTATTAGGGCTTCGGGTTTACGGTTTGGGGGCTCCAAGCAGCCTTCTTTGCGTTGCATAGTCCATCTGCAAGTCTAGCTTGGGGCTTGCCGTCGGAGTTTGAAAACATTTCCTTCGGGCTTCTGGCTACATCTTCGTCAGCATCGTCGACGGAGCTGGTCTTTTCTAGCTAGTCTTTTCTTCCCGGTACCCCTGCAACAGTAGCCGGACTGAGGGCCCAGAAGAGATCCAAACTTACTGCAAGGCAAAAAAGGTGTACATACGGAGTACGCAGCTCTTTCACCAAGTGGGTTCAGTTCTTGGTCCCAAGGTACTGGATGGCGTGCCAAGACTGCGATTGCACAGGCGATGCCTGGACAGTACATTCCCGCGCTTGCTGGAGGTTTGTACATCTTCAGTGCCTCCAAGCTTTAGGCTCCAACCTTTGCCAGCACCGTCAGACCGCAGCCCCTGAAGTCTCCACTTCGGGTTGTGGGGGTGGTTGAGGTGTTTGGGGTTTCGTCCTGACCCCCAGCTTATGTCATCGCTACTGCCAGAGACCCATGACACACAAAAAATTTAAACAATGTCGATGCAATGTCGATGGAGCAGGACGCAAACTCCAAGCTCCAAACCGAGCAGGCCAAAGCCACAGTACAGCGAAAGCGCTCAGCAAGAGCCGAGGGTCAGTGCTCCGGCCTCGTGCCGGCAGCATCCTGTGGGTCCTTTGACTTAACCGTATTAATTACTATTCTGAGGAGTAGTAGTAGTAGTAGTAGTAGTACTACTACTACTACTACTACTAGTACTAGTACTAGTACTAGTACTAGTAGCAGCTATACTTGAGATCTTTTGACCCATGTTGTGCCTGCTCAAAGGTGGTGGGTTGTGTTGTCGATTCTAGGGGTCTGTGCTGAAAAACTTCAGATTTCAAGTGCAAGAAGGGGAAGTAGGGACATAGTGCAGCCGTCAGTCGATTATTCTTCACTGCTTTATCATAGTTAGCGTCACTGTTGTACTTCGATGACAATTATGATGGTAACGGTCCTCATTGGCCTTCCTGAGTTTACTGTTTTCCATTCCTTTTATGACTTTTTCCTGGATACTTCCTGTTGTTTGCAAAAGTCGGACCATGGGCGTGCCTGGCGTACCTGCCCTCGCGATTCCAATTTTGCTGGCGAGGTAACGCTGTCGTACCTCTTGCTCGGAAGCCAGGCGGTAGATTCAGAGTAACACGTGGTCCAGTTGGGCCTTAAAGGTTTAAAGGGAAAGCATCAGGAAATAGGTGTTGTGATGGCTCAGCTCCAAGCAAGATTGGTTACGAAGGCTCGCTCGACGAGTCTTAGCGCCGCGAATTTGTACAGCTCAAGCCAAAACGAGCACTTGCTGCTGCCTTTTGCCGGTTCCACTGGTGCCGGGTTTGGTATTCAGGCAGCTCGCGCCGATCCACACATGTGGAACAGAATGACTTTCAGGGCTGATGTCATGCTCCTGAGGATTATTTTCGCGATGCCAGTGGTTCCCGTCTGCAGTGGGCCAAGGTCTCGGGCTCAGGACACGTCACGCCCCCCCCTCCGGAGTGATGCTCTCACGCAGGCAACACTGCCGCAACGACTCGCTTGTGGCGTTTTCTCGGCCCTTTACTGCCCTTCGGGGCAGTCTTCGTCGAAAGCCGGGAAGGCGCCGATCGTAGGATTCACAGGCTGTTTTTAGCTGCAAGGGGTCTTGGGAGGGAGTCGAGGCTGTGCCGGCCATGGCTAAATGAGGTGCTCGATGGATGACTTAATTGACTTAATTAATTCAGGGCAACTCAGACAAAAAAGCACGCGAAGGATTTTCCACATGTTTCGGCTCGAATGGCCCCATCAAATTCTAAGGGGAATTTTGTGTTAGAGCCAAAGCCAGGCAAAGCGAGTTGCCGGCCGAAGCTTCATGATCAAGCTCCTGGGGCTGTTCGCGGTTGAGGCCCAAACCTGGCGAGCTAAGGCTGATAGTGCTGCGTTAGTCGTTCGAGGTAGTGCAGAGCTTCAGGGTTGGGCCCCACACTGGCACACCATGCCAACTGATGGAGCTCAGGTAGAACGGAGCCTCCTCTAGGGCCAGGGATGGTTGTTCGGGACGTTGATTGCTCCCGCATGATGGATATAGACATAGGGGTGTGGGTTTCGGGGTGGAAGGTCCAGGGTGTCAACCCTTCTATCATCCGAGGTTTTCTGCCGTTAGAGCTGCGTAAAACCCGAGACCCAAAGCCGTCAGGTTGACTCATGCGGGTGTGTCCTAGTGTGACAGATGAATCCTGAAAATCGTAAGCCCAACCTTGAAACTTACATCATTGACGTCTGGACGGTTTCGCTGCCAATGTTCCCAACAGAGGATTCGAATCCACCAGGGATGTAAAGTGAGCTGAGTGCAGGTTGCCCTCGGGCCCCGGTTGCTCTTCGAGACTTTTCAGCACTCCGCACAAGGCGAGTTCTTGCTGACGTCTGCGCCCGCGAACTTGACGCATAGGCATGGTAGGACTTGAAGTTCTAGAGGCAGCTTGACGAAGCAATGCTGCTTCTTGTTCAGCTCATGTTGGCTTCGGCCGGCCCTCGCGCTTTCCAGCTGCAAAGCTTGTGGCCGCAAGGTGCTTGTGCGAGTGTACATGGAGAGGGCCCGTTCTAAACGGCAGGGCCTGCCCAAAGCTCATGTTACAGCGGAATCTGATTTGGAACACGCCGGAAGAATCTAAGAGCCTCTGTGTCTTCCGGTCAGATAGGAAAGAGTCAGTCGACGAGCCCATCCTGTCACTTCAAGCCTACACCGGCAGAGTGTTGTAGGGTTCCCTAAACCAGAAGAGCATAATTTCAACCCGGGCGGCAGCGGCGGCGGCCAGAAAAAATCCGGCTCTCGTCTTGTCTGCTTGTTGTGGTGCAAAGTTCAAACCCTGACCTGCAAACTAGTGCCCAGAGGCCAAAGATGCTTTGGACTACGGATTGACCTATGGCTGCAACTGGATGCCTTGAGCTTATCTTCGGAGGGTCTGAGAGGAGGGTGACGGGTGATGGGTTCAGAATTTGGTGTAACCGGTTTGGACTTTCTGAGCATCTGCCAGCCCTCATTCCCCGCACATTTAAAGGAGAAGGCCGACAACGCTTCGACCTCGAAGTAGTGAATTGAGGTTGCTTTCGCTAGGATGGCACAGACATCGCCGATGATTTGTCCAGATCTGTCCGGTCTGACTCGGTATCGAATCACATCACGAGGAGCCGGAAAGGGTGTCCACGATTCCTTCTCAAAGCTTTGGTTCAAGTGCTTCATGTCACATCAGCATGCGAGGGCTTGTTTAAGGGCTTACGATCTTTTTGGCTGTGCCTCCGGAGTACTCTGCACGGAGTCAGCATCAATCCCCCCTTGCGAAAAGCCGGAGGGTGTAGAGCCAGTCTTGCTGATGCTGTCCTACCAGCCGCTAGAGGTTGGGCTGTATACCTGTAGCATAGCAGTCTCCAAAACCTGATTTCTCCACGAACAGAGGAAAAGCTCCTTTCTTTGCAGGCCGAACCCAATGGGAGTTCCTGACCCTGAAGCCTGCGCTGGGGGCCCTGAACAGGGACTCGTAGTCTGATCTCTCGCTTTCCTTTCTGAACCCTTGCACTTGGGTGGAGAGAACGCGTACTAGCTCTATGCAAGGCTTCTGAGATGACTTTCGCGGGAGCTATATGGTGCCACCCGGATACCCAGAAGGATACCACTGATAGCGCTTGAGGAATCGCACCTAGGTGACTCTTCGTATGTCGGGAAAGACAACAGAGAAGGAGGGCCTTTGGGATGCCGTGTTCAAGCCATTCAAAGATCCACCACGCTTGGTAGGACGCTGGGTTGCATTCTTAAGCTTTGTTCCAGAAGAGTGCGGGCCGAGGGTTTGAGGCTCGAGACTTGGGATTTGGGGCTTCGGGGTTTGTCCAGCCTCACCGGCTTTGGGTTCAGGATGGCGAATTGCGCAGCATACAACAAAAGAAGCGTGGCCTACATCCTGCATCCAAGATCGAAGCCGGGTTGGATGTGGATCTCCTGAGTTTGGGGCCCCCCCAATTTCGAACCCCTCTCACACCAGAAAGCCCCGCAGTGCCCCCAAAACCCAAATGTGCCGTAAGGGCTTTAGAATTTTAGACTGCCGGACCCCACAGTGCCTCTCAAAGCCGGTGAGTTCTCGCCTTTTACCCCATGGAGGCTCGGTTCCCTCCGCTGACGGGCGTCGGAGCTGAAGCGTTGCAGGGCAACCTCTTCAGCCTGCTGGTGCTCCTGGCTGGTCCTGGGGGGTTTCTGGGTTCGGATATAGATGGGGGTTTTTATGTCATGAGTGGCGACGTGAATGTAGGTTGGATGTTGCGTCAGTTCTGGGCATGGAACAGAAATCTTGCCGTGCAAGAGAGGGGTGCACGATATGTTTGCTTCGGTCATTGGGGCGGCGGTCCTCGGTCTGGCCGTGGGCCACAATCACGCCGTTGGAGAGTGAAGCCGAAGGGTTGGTGGGGCATACGAAGCGCTTCAGAAACCGCGATGCGGAAATGCCAGGCGTGGGCCCATGCGCTGGCTCGGGAGAACGGTGCAAGGCGAGAAGCTCTTGCAAGAGTGACCACCGTGAGAACAGGGGCCGTTTCAAGAATTACTTCGCAAGAAGATCAAGCAGAAGTCAGCAGCAGTTATATACGTAAGATCATGATTCTGGAACTGACCCATCCCATGACCTCACTTAGAAGTTTGAGTTCCGAACGGCTCTCAGGCAAGCTAAACTACAGTCAACAGCCTCGTTAGTTTGCATCCCCTTTACTCGCTTATGCTGCATGCAAATCCTTCAGTGGGATTGTGTGTTGGGGCTTGGCTTATAGCATCTTCATGGTCTCTTAGTCTCTGGGGTTCCAGGTGGAGTCTGAGAAAGCAAGAGGAAGCCCGCAGGACTTCAGGAGTTCAGGCTCCCGATTTTGGGATTCGAGGCGTTGGTGAGGCTGAGGCTTGCAGCGCAACCGAAAGGACCGTGGCATCTTGGCTTGCTCCCAGCCTTACCTTAGTGAGGAGGGGCACACGAAGTCTCATGGCAAGGAAGGCAACAATGACATACCGGCCGTTTCTAACCGCAGTCACAGCAAACTCTGTCCTTAACCTGGACACACACACACGCAGGCTTAGCAGCAGCTTTAAAAACCATCTTGCACGGGCTTGTTTGGCCGGGCATATCGGGGCCCGAGTGCATCTGTGTAGTCGTATACAGTATACACCATACCACACTATTGCTATGTGTGTGTATGTATATGCCGGAACTTAAGCTCAAGGACAGTTCTTTGCTATGATCAGGTCAAAAGAGAAACTCAGGTTTAAGATGCCATAGCAATAGCCCTTGCCAAAGCATGCCACCAGAGAGAGCAAGCAGAATCCCTTAATCTGACTACTCAAAACAAATCTCTACATTGGGGTAAGGGTGCTCCTGTCTCCAGGCTTGGTGTTGAGTCTTGCTTTCGGCAATGGCCCGAGCTTCTTCCCGTGCAACAGAGTGAGTTGGGGCTAAGCACGACGTGGAGCTTCCTTATCGAAGTGGGTTTCGTTGTCGGGGTTACAGCAGTATGAAATAGCCTAAAAGCTCCGAGGAAGCAACTGGATGAACCCTTACGCTGGTGTCCACACGACTCGGTGCTTGCAGCGATGCCCTCGTCTGGGTCTGGTTCTGGATCGACAGGTTATTTAGGCCTTGTGAGTTCTTGGAGATTGGCGAGTCTTGGAGGTTGGGGGGGGTGTGGTTCAAGGATGTCCGGGTTGGTTGAGTGTGTTCTATGCATCAGAGATCTCGTCTCACATAGAGCTTCTCGCCGAAAGGAATTATATAGTTTCGATTCCAGGCTTCGGACGTCGTGAGCCCTACAGCTGAGCTTACACTACCAGTACTGACATGAAACCATCTAGGAGGTACAGGAGAGGCTCGGCGAGGATGCATCATTGAGTTGTCAAATAAGCATGCTGGGCTTCATGGGGGAGGATGGTGACAAGTTTGGGCCATAGTTCCGAGTATTTTCTGGAAGCAGAAATCAGAAAGCGGTTCCTAGTGCCATGCCGGCTGCAATGCAAACGAAATCTGAGTTACCCATATGTGTTTTTTTTTTTACGGTTGCGATGTTCCGGTACTACGAGAGGATGTGTGGTTTGCGATTACGCCCCATCCCCATGTGAAGCGAAGCCATGAGCTTTTGCCCGGAAGCCTCGACCTCGACTCCCTCCTCCGGGGCAGGTAGACAGAGCCTGAAGGCTTGGCAACCCGAGTATTTCTATTATCTTCTCGCCCAACTCCTGAAGCTCCAATCCGAGCTTAGCGGCCTGAAGTTTTCTGCACCCTCAGCCCTAAACCGCAATCGACCCCAGAATCCCCAAACAGCTTAGAATCTTAGAAGCTAAAACCTGAGGCGGTGAGAGGTGGAGCTAGCGGACCTGATGCGAGGCTTTGGCTGGAGGGTTTTGGGGTCCAGGTGCAGGGCAGTGCAGGGTCGGGTTTCACGTAGAGCTCGGTGGGAGGAAAAGGCATAAGTCAGAAGGCACAATGAGGGAAGCAGTGAAGCAGTCAGAGTCAGTGTCATCATGTTGCTGTAAGAATAGTTCGAGTCAGGTTTTTGGCTCAAAGACTTCAAGCCTTAGCGTCGCGAATCCCATGAAAAGCTTCGGCGCTGTCTCGCATGCTGCCCCTCAGCTCCCTGTTCTGATGGGTACGGCTGGCCCTTGCTAACCCTGGTCAAGCTTCAATTATATCATATCATACTAGAGTATATATTGTATTATTTTTCTCATATTATATCTATATGATATTATGTATAAAGACTGTGCATGACTTGGAGCAAGCCCGCATGTGATGATGGCCTTCGACCCGAAGCTCGATAAGCCCTCCTCAATGCAAGATCTTCGTAGCCACTGGCACTGACAGGGACCTGCTGGACTCGTCAGAATTCTGGGCAAAGAACAACCAGAGGCTCGATGAGGCCGGAAGAACCTCCCAAAATGGGGGACCCCAAAATAGTACCCTAGATAGTAGGATCCTTATTATAAGGACCCCAAAGGACCCCAAAATAAGGTACCCGCTA